CACACACACACACACACACACACACACACACACACACACACACACACACACACACAGACCCCTAGTTTAAGAAGGGGACAAAGTGCTTCTGGGGCAGAAGTGGGCTGGGTTTGGGAGAACTTCGTGCTCCTCAGCCCCAACAGGAAAACAAAAGGGTGATTTCTCAACATACCTGACCTTTTGTGTCTAGGCAGTCTCCAGAGAAAAATAAAACACAAAAACAAGCCATGTAGAGGAACCTCCACCTAACTGCCCAGCAAGGGACAATGGTACATTTGCGATAAGTTTCTCCTTGGCTTCCACTTACGCCCGCCACACAAGGCGCTGATACCTGATTGGCCTCTTCGTCTCCTGGGCCCCACCCACTCCTCTGGCTAGGAAGTCCTGATTGGTTCTAAGAATTGTACAGATTCCTCGGCCCTGGTTCCATGTAAGGGAATCCTGGTCCTTGAGGCAGCGGAATTCCTAAATACCAAAAAATATACTGAGAGAAATACTAGGAGACAGCACATAAAATAAATCTATAATGAAAACCATGCAAAACCTCTGCTCACATTCAATTCTATGGAAGGTAGGTCATAACATTTTGGGGGAGGTTATCTGTGGAGGGATAGAATAGAGAAGAGAAATAGACTAAACTAACTTTTAAACTGATTTTTAAAAATTTGTTTATACACTTAGGAACCATGTAAATATTGTACATAATCATGAAACAAAACTATTTTTCAAACAATCTCGTAAAAACTGAAAGTATAGTACAACAGATGAACCTAAGAGAAAATTGAGTTAGTGGATGGACACACACACACAGAGGACCTAGTTCGGTAAGTTAGAAACAAAGTGATTTGATTGCTATCCCAGGGGGCTACACCCTAAGGATAAAAGAACTGCTATGAGAATTTTAAGCTGTTTACACCAATCATATTGTTGGTGGTAATGTTTGCACTGTTATTCTGAGACTGTTGAATGTGTTTGGTTTGGTAAGACAGTAATTATGTGATATTCCAGTATCATTCGCAGTACCACTGAGAACCAGGACACTCAGCTTGGGGAAAATGATGCAGATGGAAGAAGGAAGAGGTTAAGTATAAACCTTGCATTTGGTTTTTAAATGTTTGTTATTATTTATTTACTTATTACGTATACATGTTTACAACAATAATGATTACATTCATTGAGGGGAGTTAGTACATGTGTATAACACATCTTTTCTTTTATCCCCTTCCCCTCCCATATCCTCTCTTCTCTCTCCCTCTGTCTCTTAGCAAACCCTGATTTTTTTTTTTTTTTTTGAGGCAGGGTCTTCCTTCGTAGCTCAGCCTGGCCCTGAACTCACTATGTAGCCCAGGCTGCCCTCGAACTCGCAGTGATCCTCCTGTCTCAGCCTCCCCAGTGCTGAGATCACAGGTGTGCGCCACCACACCCAGCTCAGCAAACCCTGAATTTGAATTGGAAATGTCGTGATAAACTTATGATGAATTAAGTTTACGAAAAAAAAAAAGTATTTTCTAGCCTGTCCATTCCCTTTTTTTTTTTTTTTTTTGTACCAGGGATCAAACTCGGGACCTTGAGCTTGGAGGCAGGTGGTGGCACCACTGAGCTAAATCCCCGGCCCTCCCTTGCCTGTCCATTCTTAAAGACCTAAAAATAATGAATGAATAAAAATGAGTATGAGTGGCACCCTAGCTGTGATTTTTTTTTTTTCCTATTTTGGTTTTTTGAGACAGAGTCTTACTACGTAGTCCAGGCCAGCCTTGAACTCATTATGTGGCCCCAGAGTGGACTCAAACTCCCAGGGATCCTCTTGCCTCAGCCTCCTGAGTGCTAGGATTACAAGTGTGCACTGCCATACCTAACAAGTATCATTTCCCACTAAAGGAACTAGGATTCCTTGAAAGACATGGCTAAGGCCAGGCTGGAATACCAAACAGCAAAAAAGTTACCAAAAACCACTAGTCTTGAGAAAATGAAAAAATGGAAACAAAGTCTTTGCAAATAGGGAGGGATGGAGGGGTTGAAGGGAGGGCAGGGGAAGGGGGAAAAATAAGAACCAAGAGAGATTATGTAAAGGTGCAAATTTCCAATGATGAATGTCATTATATTGTATACCTAAAATGTACCAATAAAATAAAATTTTTAAGAAAACAAATCCCTACTCTTGTCAAAAGGGCTTAGAAGGCAACTTTCAGAGGCTCTTACTGGCCATGGATGAAACAAGTGGTGCATGGGATCAATATCTTGTAGTCAATACCAATTCATATTCGTATTAAAAATTAATTTGTCACCATAAGTTGCCAGGAAACATTTCATGGCCACTGTGAGCTCTCTGAGTGGCCCTCTCTCACTCTGCAGAGCATCCTTCTTTTCCTACCTTTAGTAAGTATAAAAGCTTGCTACCTTTAAAAAGCTCATTATTTTGAGAGCTGCTAAATACAATAGAATTAAGCATTTATCCTGTTTTCCCTTTATAATGGACACCATTCAGTAACCAAATAGTAGATGAGAGAAAGTTTCTTTTTTTTTTTTTAGATTTCATTTTGTCTCTTTTTATTTAAATCACAGACAGCACCTTTGAAGACCATGTGTTAGATATGGCCCAGAAAAGTCATGCCAGACTTTCGTCCCACAGCTATCACAAAGTCTGTCCTGAGACAGGATCTCATTAAGTCGCTAAGTTGCCCAGGTGAGGCTCAAACTTGCAATCCCCCTGCCCAAAACAGCACCTCCAGCTCCTCTGTCTTCAACTGAAGAAGTGTTGATCCCGAACATGATAAAAAATTTAAAAATAAAAATGAAAGAAGCATTGAAGAACGGACACCGGTGGACAGCAGAGCCTACGGCCAACAGTGCTCCCTTCTTGACAGTGTCTTCTGTGGAGAAGCCCTTTCCGCGGCTGAAGCCCATAAGGGTCTGAACCAGTCCCAGGTCAGCCCTCCCTGCCAAAGAGGACACTGGAGCAGTGTCCTGAGGCAGCCAGCTTCCTTCTGAGTACAGATGCACGAAGGGCATCATTTCCAGGAAGAAAGCAACCCCCTTTCAGGAGTCCTGTAACAGTGGAACAAGAAGGGAATTGGAAGAGTTTTCATCCGAAAGTTTCTTTATAAAATGAATCCAGTTAATAAATGAAGACATGATAGAATGTGAACATACAGATGTCTAATGCCTCCAGAATGCCACAATAGTGCTCATGATGTTGTCATGCAAAAACAATTGGACTTGAGGTCTAGGGATGCAGACCTGTAATCCCAGCACTCTGGTGCACACAGGCAGCAGGATCCAAAGTGCAATCGCAACCTAGGCAACTTAGAGACTTAGTCCTTGTCTCAATAAAAAATGAGTAGGTGGGGCCAGAGATGTAGCTCAGTGGTTCTGCCGCCTGCCTTGCAAGTGCAAGGACCCGAGTTCAATCCCTGGTACCGAAAAAAAAAAAAAAATGACTAGGTGATGTACCTCAGAGGATAGGCCTAGATTCAACCCCCCATATTGCAAATGAAGAAGTAATTAATATAGTGAACTTGAACATGACCAAGGTGTATATCTAATTACCAATTTATAGGGGTAAAGAAATTGAGAGTACAGAAAACATGTTAAATGGCACTACGGGGTGTCAGTGATACAACATGTGTTTTGCAAGCACCATGCTCTGGGCTCCATCCCTGGCACCAAAGCTGGTGGGGGGAGTTACCATGGGAATGCAGTGAGTGGAATCCAGGCTGTAAGAACACTTCAGGACACATTGATCATTTTCTTCAATAAATAAAATTCAAAGGAAAAGAGAGATAATGGTGGAGTCTAGAGTAAAAGGAAAAAGATACAAATATGTCAACCACCACAATGTAGAGGCCTTTTCCAATCATGATTTAAGCAAATTGTTAGGCATACATACTCACAAATGTTTATGACATTTGAGACAATTGCACACAATTCTGATTGCAAATTTGATGATATTTTGAAAGAGTTTATTTTCCTAGATATTGTGTTTTATACTATAAAAAAACATAGCACTGCGGGTTTTTATTGTTTGGATTTTTGGTGCTGGAAATTGAATCCAGAGCCTCATATATACTAAGCATGCACTCTTACCACTGAGCTCCAGCCCCTGTGTTGTTGTTTTTTAAAAGAACTTATATTTTAGTAATACATACTAAATACTGATGAATGAAATATTTGAAATTTTTAAAAAATATTATGGGAGGGCCTGGGGATTTAGCTCAGTGGCTCCGTGCCTGCCTCACAATTGTAAGGTCCTGAGTTCGATCCTCGGTACCAAAAAAAAAAATTATGGGAAAGGGGAAGTAGCTGGAAAAATAGACAACATAATCATGGCTATGTGTTGATTATTGTTAAAGATGTTGACAGACACTTGGGAACTGTCTTAGTTACTTTCTTGTGACTGAGACACAATACGTGACACCTGCAACTCTAAGGAGGAGAAGTTTATTTTGCCTCACAGTTTGCAGAGATTTCAGGGCATAGTTGGCTGGCTCCAAGCCAAGATAACATGGCAGAAGGGCATTTCAGAGGAGAAGCAGCTCATGGTATGGCAGCAGGAAGCAGAGAGAGGGATCAAGAAAGAAGGAGGAAAATGGACCCTTCAAGGCCATGCCCCTAGGAACCACCTCCTCCAACCAGGCTTCACCTCCCAGCATTACATTTGGCTAAAAACTCATCAATGGACCAATCCACTAATGAGTATCACACCTCAGTGATCCAATCACCTCCCAAAAGCCCCATCTATGAGCTCATGAGGCTTTGGGGAGACATCTAGATATAAACCATAACAGGAACTCACCACTACCATGTCTACATTTATATAGATTTTAAATTTCCCAAAAGTTAAAATAGAACAAAACAGAGTCACCAACATTGTAAAATGCCAAAGCAAGGGCCAGGGATTTAGCTCAGTGGTTCTGCTGCCTGCATCGCAAGCTCAAGAATCCGAGTTCGATCCCCAGTACCAAAAACAAAACAAAAAAGCCCCTTTTGGACCAGGAATTTAGCTCAGTGGTTCCAGTGCCTGCCTTGCAAGCACAAGGTCCCTGGTTCGATCCCTGGTACCAAAAAAAAAAAAAAAAAAAAAAAAAATCCAAAGCAAGGTCAAATGCAATATAAACTAAGAGAGCCTCTTCATTTGGATAATTAAGTGTCTTTGGTGGCATTTTCAGCAGTTTTAATGAAATAGAGACAGCAGAAGATGATCTCCAGCAGGGTAAAAAAATGAATGCAGTTAGCAGAGCATATTCCTCTCCCTCTGTTACAGTTTATATCTGGATGTCCTCCTAAAGCCTCATATTCTCAGAGGTATGACTTGGGAATGTGATTGGAACCAGCTCCAGCTGGTTTGTGTTAGGAGGTGAGGCTGCCAGAAGAGGCAGGTCACTGGGGGCATGGCCTGGACCAGCCTCTCACTGACCCTGTTCCACCCTTCATTCTCAGCTTCCTGGCCGCCATGATGTGAGCAGCTTTCTTCCCCCGAGGCCCTTCCACCATGGGGGCCATGCAAGGACTCAACCGCCTGAAATATGAGCCAAAAATCAACCTCTCCTCATTAAATTGTGAGCATCAGGTATTGTGTCTCAGTGATGAGAAAGTGACTAAGACACCCTCTCTTTCGATGTTTTCACCATAGAATTTTCCAGACCAAGAATACAGTGAAGATATTTTAAGAAATCTTCATTCCCCAATGTCTTGTCATCCAGCTTCCCTCATGTGAACATTGTGCCATTGTCACTGCAGCTTGCTTGCTTGCTTGCTTGCTTGCTTGCTTTCTTTCTTCTTTTTTTCCTCAGTAGTGCGAATTGCACCCACAGCCTTCACTCAGACCTATATCCTTAGCAATATGTTTTTTATTTTGAAAAAAGCTTCTTGCTAAGTCAGTTACCCAGGCAAGGGTAGAACTTGCAATTCTCCTGCTTCAGCCTCCCAAAGAGCTGGGATTTGAGGCCTATGCCACCACACTCACCCTCCTTCTGAATCATTTTTAAGTAAATCCCAAATATCATTTAATTTCATTTGCACATAATCCAGTTTTTGGGTTGGGGATTTAGCTCAGTGGTGTTGCCGCCTGCCTTACAAGTGTAAGGTCCTGAGTTCAATCCCTGGTACCAAAAAAACCCAAAACCAAACATAATCCAGTTCTTATTTATAATTGATAAGAAGCTTTTCATAACAACATCAGGAGCCAAACTAACAAACCTAAAAATTTCTTATGGAGACATACAACCAAAAACAGATATAAGAATCACCAGGAAAATGCTTTCTTTTCTTTCTTTCTTTCTTTTTTTTTTTTTTTTAGGAAAATGCTTAAGTGTTTATTAGCATTCAAGATTCAAAAACATTGCTTAATGATGATCTTCAAAAAAAGGGGAGGAAAGATGGACTAAAAAAGAAAAATGTGTATATCAAAGATAGAAGAGCCACAACAGTTCAATAAGAAAAAGGAAAACATCTGGGTGTGGTGGCACATGCCTGTGATCCTAGCACTTGGGGGACTGAGGCAGGAGGATCACCATGAGTTCAAGGCCAGCCTGGGCTCCATAGTGAGTTGCAAGCCAGCAGGAGCTACATGGTGAGACCCTGTTTAAAAACAAACAAAAGAATAAGGCAGTCTAATAGAAAAATGATCAAAGCACAACAGAATCTTCCAGAGCACCTGATCTAAACTGCCAACCGTATGAAAAGATGCCAAACCTCCCTAGTAGTAAGGAAGAGGCAATTTAAAACCACAGTGAAGGGCCGGGGATTTAGCTCAGTGGTTCCGCCACCTACCTTGCAAGTGCAAGGACCCGAGTTCGATCCCCGGTACCAAAACATAAAATAAAATAAAACCACAGTGAGTGGATTACCATGGTATACCTTTAATATGATAAAACCACATGTCGACAAAGACGTGCATGGAGAGGATCCTAAGACCTTGGCAGTGTGAATGTAAATCAAATCCCTGATGGGAAATTAGAATTATCTCCCAGAGCTGATGATGGATGACGACCTCGGACCCAGCATTCTCCTGTGAGGTACAGAGCCTGTGTACACTTTTTCAGAGAATGTTTATCGCATCATTGTTTACAATAGAAAAAAATGAGAACAACCTAAATATCCAACGGTAAGAAAATGGAAAGTGAACTTGTGTTCTATTCATTAATGAAGTACTAAATTAAAATACATATCAAGCTCATAAAAACATGTTGAGTGAAGAATACAAATATAGAGAAAATGAAAAGTCTCACATTATTTGAAATTTTTAAAAATTAAAAACAATGTTATATATTATGGATATGCATACGGATAAAATAATATATTTAAGAGATGAGAAGACAGATGTCGATTTCAAACTAGCAGTTATCCTGTAAAATTAGAAGTGAGACCTTGAGTGTATGTTGCTGGTTTTTTTAATATATGTGCTGCCAAAGCGAGCACTTTATTTTTTGGTACCGGGGATCAAACTTGGGACCTTGCGCTTGTGAAGCAGGCAGCGGAACCACTGAGCTAAATCCCCGGCTTATGTTATTTTTTTTAAAGACCTACAATTAAGATCTAAAGATTAAGAACTAACTGGTACATGATGAATATTTATTACATATTTTTCACTATACTTTTTTTGGGCATGGTATTGAACCTGGGGGTTGGCACAAGCTATGTAAGTCCTTTACCACTGAGCTACATCTCCAGCCCTTTTAACATTTTATTCTGGGGAGCCTGGCATGGTGGCACATGCCTGTAATCCCAGCACTTGGGAGGCTGATGCAGAAGGATTACCATGAGTTCGAGGCCAGCCTGGACTACATAGTGAGTTCAAGGCCAGCCTGAAAACTACTTAACAAGATCTTGTCTCAAAAACAAAACAAAACAACAACAACAAAAAGAAGTTATGCTGGGACAGAATCTCACAAAGCTGCTGAGGTTGGCCTCAAATTTTTAGTCCTGCCTCAGCTTCTCAAGATGCTGGGATGATAGGTTTGTGCCATTGTGCCTGTCTCCTGTATACCTGTTTACATGCTTGGAATA